GCCTGGGGACCCCACATCCGACCGTAAACCCAACCTATATATATATATATATATATATATATATATATATATATATATATATATATATAGTTGATTTTTACCCTCATTTCTACACTTCTGGCCGAAAACTCAACATTCTCTCTCTAAACCCACCAACCGAAAACTCAAGTTTCTCTCATCTATCCTCCGAAAATCATCCAATCCACCTTGGAACTTGTTTTGGAGCATCAAACATTCATCATTTCATCAAATCAAGCACTCTTCATTTTCGGGTTTACGGCCGTGAACTTTCAAATCTTCATATTTCACCAAGCACACCAAGAACACCAAGAACAGGCCGCAAACCATTCAACGGTAGAGAACAGTTCACGGCCGAGAATAGTTCACGGCTGCAAACTACCCTAAATCGTGAAACTTGGCTGTAAAACCACTTTTCCACTTCGATCAAGTCTCGGTAACATTCCTAAACCAAAAGCAAGTGTTTTCTAACACTTTAATTAATGGGTTCACTAATTTAAATGCAAATATGTTTTTAATTATTATTAGGATTTCGTTAATTTCACGTACAACAACTCGAGGGTCCTCATTCCAGTCTCATTGTTTGGCACTTACACGCAACCAACTGTGAGTTCATACCCGTACACTTTTACTGTTTTAAACGTTTTCAGGGGGAATACAAGCAAAACACAAAGAAATCTTGTGATTTTGTATAAAGGATTTTTAACAAAATTAAAACTTATGTAAACGATACAATCAAGAGATCATTACCTTTTACAAAACATTTAGATAATATATCCCTTTTGTAATATGTTGAGCATAAGGGAAGTTTTCAACATGCCACCATAGTTGTAAAGTTTTCAGAATAATACACAAATTGACTAAACTAAAAAACATATAAACTATAATAGGTATAGTTTATGGAACAATTACCTTATCAATACATGAAACATAGATTCTGTGCGAACAAACCTATAAATTATATAGAGCATAGTTTATGGGTCATACAAATAGTAATTTAAATTTAAAGGATTCATTTTATTCTACACTTAATCGTTAGTATAGCATTTTATGAGTGAGCGTCTTCGCGTACTTACCTAAGTACTAACAAAAGTCCTGAGATTATAACCAGAGTCTTCGGGATGGAGAACGTGAGTTTGTATATAGATCTATATGGGAATGAGAATCCCGCACCGCAACTGTTAGCTACAGTTACGCCGACAGGCCTGGGTGACAAAGTCATTTTGATTCTGACGCCTGAAGAACGTCGTTCAGGCAATTCAATGGTCAAGTATGGTTATAACAACTCATAAATTTGGTACTAAATAATGCGATTAATGTATGAATGGTAACAACTTCAATTAGTTTTATTTTAAATTAATAGAACTATTATACATTATTGGTGGTAGCCAGGGTTTTCAAACTGAACAATGCTTTAACAACATAAGTAAGGAAAATAATTGTACTTTACAGTTTTGGAACGTTTAAAACAACAACTCACCTTTAGGGAAAATATAGGGTTTTCCAGGACAAACATTAGTATTTTACAAACAATCAGTTTATCATTCAACTAACGAACATTCATTGTTAATTCTATAATTCTTTAGTTTATGCATCCGAGTTACGTACGAAGAGTATCTGATAGACCGTGGAATGTGTGGTTTCTGCCTTATTTCTTGTTCCTTGTTTGGTTGTGGACTTAGGGCATATCCACACAATCATCTGTCTGTTCGATATTGGTTTATGCATAGCTAGTATAAACTAAGTGGTTATAGAAGGAACTGGTAATATCATGCTTTTACTAAGAAAATATTAGATTTTCTTAAGGAACACCTTCAACAAATTTCATAGGACTAATACAGTTGACTCTGTAAGTACCTAGTGAATACGTCAGGGTTAGGTATATGAGGATCCGACAACCAGTGGGATGTGTGGCATCTCCCTCATTTCCTGTTCCTTGTTTGGTTGTGGACTTGGGGCAGAACCACACAATCAATTGTTTGTTCGATTTGGATTGTATATGATCTGTATACACTAAGTACTTGCAGTAGGAACTTGTAATAATCATTTTACATAACATTCATTATATCAGAAAATATAGAGTTTTCTGGAGAAATACATCGTGCTTTTTAAAGATCAAAGAACCTGTTTTCTAAACAAAACATTTATGAACTCACCAGCTTAAATGCTGATACTCTTCCAAAACTACTTGTATTCTCAGGACACTAGTAGATAGGTACTTGCACCGGATTCCAGAAGACGGAGCATCGTAGCTTCAAGTCTTTATCTGTTATTTACTTTTGGAGTCAGCTTTAGATGATTCGTATACAATGTAAACATTATACTATTAATACAATGGTTGTTGTTGGTTTGATTACTATTCTGCAATTGTTGTGATACTGTACATGACGTCCTCCGCCCCCGAACGTTTCCGCCGTTCCGGTTTGGGGGTGTGACAAACTAGAAGTATTACTGATTTACCTAATCAGTCCCTCTAACTTTAATTAGTTTCTGTTGCTCACTAAATTAATACCGAATTAATTCTTGATCAATACTAATTAAATAATTTGACTTCTCAATTAATATATTATACTTGATGATATATGGTTCATTAGCATAGCCTAGACTACTCCAGCGCGCCAGCCTGACCTGGCGCGCTCCTGCCAGCCCTGCTCGGCTTCCCCTTGCCAGCCTTGCCTGGTGCTCCCTTGCCAGCCCTGCTGGGGACTCTCCTGCCGGCCTAGCCTGACGCTCCCTGGCTTGGCGCTCCCTTGCCAACCTTTCCTGGTGCGCGCCCGCCAGCCTCGCCCGGCGCCTCCGGGCGGCCTCGCCCAGCTCCTTGCTAGCTGGGCCTGAATTGGGCTGGCCCAAGGCCTGACCTAATTGTCCCCTATATAATGAACAGTACCTCCTCCGTGGAGGAGGATCTTCCCCTTGGCTCAGCCGCCATACTACACTCCGGCCGGGTGGCTCAGCCGCCACCCGCCGCCGTCAGCCACCATACACCACCACTAGCACCAAGATGGTTCTCTCCAGCTATGGAGGACCATCTCAGATCTTCTAGCTGATCTAACTTGACCGTCGGAGTCCGCTCCCGGGGCACAGTCCCTGAGGCGGCTCTAACGACTTTGCACTGTGATGTCCAAATCTCCGCCGCAGCAGAAGACCAGAAGACTCGCCGATGTCGTATCATTTGGCGCCATCCCGAACTCGAACGAGCAGCCATAATCTCGTTCTTGCCTAGATCTGATGTGCTTCAGCTCAGGTGTGACCAGATCTGTTAATGTTTAGCATCATTTGGTTCAGATCCGCTTGGTTCTTGCCAAGATCTGTCCAGATGCTTTAGTTTTTTCTAAGATTTGTTCAGATCTGATGTATCTTCATCTAAGGTTTGCTCAGATCTGTCCATTTCTACATTCCTTAGTTCAGATTCGTTTGGATTTTGGCAAAGATCTACCTAGATCTGAATAGTATGCTTCAGATCTTTGGATCTGATGACTTTTTCTTCAGATATGTAAATCTACTTCATTTTTAGCTCAGATCTCTAGATCTGAAGGTTTTTGTTCACTTAATCATCTCTCAAGTTTTAAAAACATCAATTCAAACCCGTTTTTACTTGTATTTTCAGGGAGAGAAGAGGTTGTTTCGACCATTTCTCCATCTTTGTTCATATTTTGGTGCTTATCCAAGTAACTTGAGAGGGGAAGAAAATTTTCATGATTTCTTACTTTCTTTTCAGTTTATGTTACAAAAATGACCTTCAGTTTATGATTTTCTTTGCAAAGCTTCTCTGAAGTAGTCTATTTAGTGTTTTCTCTAAAAAAGATTAGAGATAGAGAATGAAAATTGTTCCAGATCTGTTTCTTGTTCATATCTTCATAGCTTGTTGAGCAAGCTGAAAAGTAAAGAAGGTTTAGTGAGGAACCTTTTTAGACCCGTTTTTTGTTTATTTGTCGGAGGTTTGTTGGGCAATTTCAGAAAAAAAAAAGAAATTTTTATGAGTTTTTACTTCATTTTCTGTTTATATGATACAGACAAACGATTTTAGCTTAGATTTTCTGTAAAGAACTTCAATTCCTGAAGCATTTATTTGTACATACAGCTGTGTTGCTTGTACATTTTACAAAACTTTTCAGGAAAAGAAAAGAGAGAAGAAGAGATGAGCTTTTCATGGGTTTTTAGAAAATTCTGTTTGATGTATGATTTTCAAGTTTATTCAAGATGTTTAAAAGCTCGAAAGAAAAAATAAGTTTCTTTGAATTTTTTACTTTCTCAAATTTCAGGAAACTCATTTTTCATTGGAGTATTCTTATATATTCTCAGTCTAAATCCTAGGAGCTGCTGAGATTTCTAAGCATGTTTGAAAGGATTTGTTTAAATCTATTTTTTGTTTATATGTTGATGTTTTATTTTGCTTTAAGAAGAAAGAAAGTTTTTATGAGTTTTTACTATCTTTTAATTTATATACTATCAAAAATTATCTTAGTAACTTGTGCTGTAATCTTGGCACATTTCAAAACACTAGTGAAAGTTATTTTTATTTCATTAGTGTTACCATTTTATTTCAAAACACTAGTGAAAGTTATTTTTATTTCATTAGTGTTACCATTTTATTTGATGGTTTAAAAAAAAAAAAAAAAAAAGAACCAGGGAGGTAGAGATAGAAGTATTCAACATATCTAAGACACTATCAGATATGTCTTATGCTCTGGAGTTTGACCAAGTTTGAAGAAAAAACAAAGTTTATTTTACAAAAAAAAAAAAAATGAAAGTTATCCTTACCCAACAATCTACCATTTTAATTAATGGTTCTCAAAAAAAATTTACCATTACTTACATTACTTAAAGAAAATATATATAAAAAAAAGAAATAGCTGTATTGCTCTTTAACCGACCAAAAAGAAGAAAACAGTTTACTGGTTAAAGAAAATATATATAAAAAAAAGAAATAGCTGTATTGCTCTTTAACCAACCAAAAAGAAGAAAAAGAGGTAAAGGTGTCAATGCACCAGACAACAAGACAAATGACACAGCTGTCAACAAAAATCAAAAGAAAAACCGGGCCCCACTTTGCTTTCTCTCTTTCCAATGGAGTTCGCTTCCCGATGAATCACCAGCGACAACAACCGGAGCGCCGCCATCAACAGCTCACCAATCATCACCACGGGGCGACCGCCAACCATCCCCACTCACCAGAGCCAAAGCGTTCACCAATCACAACCACACCTCCAGTCGATGGTAAATTTCAACAGGCAACCTACAGATCAAGCGCTTCCGGCCAACCCCAGGCCACCATCGATCCTCCATAGCAGAAACATCGCCCTCTAACCGCCGGTCGCTCCTGTCTCCGACCCCCATGAATCAGCAACCACAGCTTCAGCACAGATCATCACCAAAAATCGCCATCGTCATCACCAAGAACTACCGCCACCTGACCCATAAGAAAAAAACTCCACTGGAGAAGCATCGCCCTGACTTCGCCGCCAGTCGCCGATTGTTTCAACGCGTGAACCAACCGGAGCCCAAGCACTACCCGTCACTACCAGTTCTGATGACGCTTATCCGACAGCTGCGCCCGAGGCGGCTGGGACCAAGTACCACCGGTCCTCAGCACCTCCGACCCCTGTTCTCCAACCTGAAGCTGCCGTCCGGAGTTTAAAAACACCCAACCACCGTGTAAATCTCTTCCAACAAGCGACGATCTTCCTTCAAACCTCACCAGCCTGCAACTGTCGTCGGCCATCTTCAAGAGAGGGCACAACAGAACTGTAAAGCCACGCCAAAGCCCTAATCTCCTTCTACAGGCCACGATCTCAAAAAAAAAAATGAAGATTAATCTCCGGTAGCTGAACGACCGCCACCAGCAGGGGTCACAATACCAGCGAACCATCAAAGCCTTCGTAGATCTTCAACCGTCGCATCCATCAGGTGGCGCAAGAGAGAAAATCTGCCGACGATCCAGATTTTGATCTTTGCAGATGGCGACCTCGCCCCTCCACAGATACCCCCACATCCGATTTCCGCTGGCGAACAACCACCGTGACTCCTCCTCCGAGAACCGAAAGATCTCCCATCACCGGCCACAGCTTTTCTTCCTCACCTTTTGGGCATCTCCTTCGCCAATTGTGACGATTAGATTCATCAATCACAAAGATTAGCGGAGGGCGGCTGCAAGACTTCCATCCAAAAGTCAAACCAGATTAAAGCAAGTAGGCCCATACGCACTTGATACCCGGATGCAGTTCACACATAAAAAAAGGGGGATAGAAAGCAACATGGGCCGTGTATGGGCTAAATGGGCTCTTAACTTTCAAATGGGCTGTAGTAAATTACTTTGGTTTTTCACTTAAGCTTTTTTATGGACCACCCGACAACAACAGTTTCAACGCAACCATCACCGAACTTCTCTTTTATAGATTCATCGCTAGCCGAAGCCACAAGATGGTCGTTTAAACACCACCTCTCACCGATCACAATCTGCCGTTCCGATTCACCTCTACAAGCGATGATAATGGCAACTTAATCAATGATATGTTCGGCAAACAAAAAAAAATTCCTTATGGATGGTTGCAAATCGTGTTAACAGCTAATACACAGCCAATTTTTTATTCTCCAAAATAGAAAAAAGAGGAAAAAAGAGAGAGAGAGAGAGAGAGAAAGAATTAATCTGAAAGCCAGTCGTCAGTTTCCTTTTTGCATCTCCTAGAACCGAGTCGTGATATCGAGAACCAGCTGGCACACTTATGTTTCATGAAAACTGATCAAAAAGAAATAAAGGGCCCACATGTGATACTCCTTAAGATATAATACCGCATACATACATGCAAAACAAAAAGGAAATATATGGTGGGCCACTTGTGCAATCAATTCGTTTCTCACAAAAAAAAGAGATCAATATTTGAACTGGCCCAATACAAGGGTTTGCAACATTTACTTTGGGCTCGAACAAATTCACTTGGCCTCATCATTCACTATTTGGGCTGCACAAAATAAACATTTTTATGGACCAGCTTTTATAAGACAAGAATTCAGTCGATCCCCGTTCGTTTGCCACGATTCCGCTCAACAGAACACACTTTCAGAATATTCGCTGCAATACGCTCCACTCAACTTTTCTACAAAAAAAAAAGGGGGGGGGAGGGAGAAGAGTAGTATGCTACTACTACTAGTCCATGAAGCTTTTTAAAATGCGATCGCGATAGAAAGGCTCAATGTCAACTTTCTCTCATCTCTCAAGTAAATTAATATCATTTATATATTATCTCCATTTAGTAAAAACTAAAAAATTCACTAAAGCCTTACTATGACAATCGCGACATGCTCATACCTTCAGTGAGTTTAGGTATTTATATAAAAAAATACTAACCTACTACATAGTAGAGAACCTTTTTACTATAGCATCGTATTTTTATAGGAAAAGATGCCACGTTTTGATAATTGAATTGGCAAACAGTGTTCAGTGTAATCATACCATTTTGGCATCGTTAGTTTGTAACTACTAATTGCATGCCACTCAAGCATTTTATACAACACACAAGTAGTTCGTCTATACAAATTTAAACATAGGCACATGTTGTGAACAACCTCTAAAACCACATGCTTACATGTTTTAACTGCCACTATCATGCACTTACCTTACTATTCTTTACAAAGTATGGAATAAGATAACTTACTATTATTGTTTACAATGGCATGTACAAACAAATGAGACTCGAGTGTGCAAACAACAAGCCAATATCATATATCCATCCGTTTTCACTTCTTCACCCATTCTAAAAAAGGGGAGTAGAAGGATTAGCACAACACTATGCAGAAGTGTTATTCCTATATCGAGTAAAGAGCTGAACTACATAACGAGTTGACGTTATATACGACTGTGCATCCCTGGGAAGAGATTGGTGTTATGAATGAAAAAGAAGCTCTACGGCCCGACACCAAACGTTAACCATATTGCCTGGCTATCAGCAGCCGTGATGGCTTGCCCCAGGCAGTCTTGCAGCCCAGCTCTCAATAGTCGCGTTGCTTGTACCCCGGTAGTTATGATGACCATCTCTTCTTAGTAACCATGCGGCCCAGATCCTAACAGCCATGTTGCCTAACTCTCGTCAACTATGATACACGACTTTTCCCAGCAGTCGTGCTGACTGGTCTTTGGCAGTCTCTTTAATAACTCTTAGCAACTGCACTTCCTGACTATCAGCAGTCATGTTGACCAGCTCCAGGATGTCTCGCTACTCAGCTCTCGGCAGCTGTGCTGACCGGCTCCCGCTAGTATCGCTACTCAGTTTTCAGCAGTCGCGTTGGCCGGACCTCAGCAGCTGCATAATCCAACCCTGCCAGTCTCGCTGCTCAGCTCCCAGCAGCCACGATGCCAGAATCTTAGCAATCGCGCAACCTGGCCCTCAACGGCCATGCAATCCATCCCAGCGGCCGCAAAAACCAGTCATCAGCAGTCGCGATGTCGGACCAGCAGTCACGTTGTCTGGACAGTAGTCGTGCCGCCCAACTCTCGGCAATCACGCTACCCAACTTTTGTCAGCGCTTGAATCGCCTAGCTTTTTCTAGTAGCTGTATTGCTTAGTTCTCAACAGCTATGCATCCAACGTTCTCTCTCTCTGCATCCTCTAAGAAAACAAAAGGGGGGGGGAGAAGGACTAGCACGACACTATGCAGAAGTGATTTTTATGCCGAAGGGGCAGAGTTAAAGCACATGAAGAGTTGATGTTATGCATGATAGTACATTACCGAAGTGACATAAATACCCCAGATTGAAAGAGCAGCCTCGTAGTTCAATCCTCAGGAGTCTCGCTGCCCAGATCTCAGTAATCATGCTGCTCATCTATCACTACCAGCTCGTTGCCCAACCCTCATCGGCCATGTTGCTTAACTCCTAACAACAGCCCCACAGTCCTGCTCTCGATAACCTCGCCGCATAGCTCTGGTCAGAGTCATCAGAAGACGAAGCATAAGTCCAATCATGCAAGGTTCAATACCCTTGCCTCGTTGCAGAGCACCGGGTACCATTACACTTCAGCTACTCCTGATAACCTAGGCCGGACACATAGTTTGTTGGCCGCAGCGTCCAATTATGCAAGGTTCAGTACCCTTGCCTTGAGTCGCTTGGCTTCTCAGTCCGACTCCATTATAGCGGCATGCTCCGCATGCGAGGTTCAGTACCCTCGCCTTGAGTCGCTTGGCTTCTCAGCCCGACTCCATTATAGCGGCATGCTCCACTTGCGAGGTTCAGTACCCTCGCCTAGGGTCGCCTGGCTTCTCAACCCGACTCCATTATAGCGGCACACTCCGCATGCGAGGTTCAGTACCCTCGCCTTGAGTCGCCTGGCTTCTCAGCCCGACTCTATTATAGCGGCACACTCCGCATGCGAGGTTCAGTACCCTCGCCTTGAGTCGCCTGGCTTCTCAGCCCGACTCCATTATAGCGGCGTGCTCCGCACGCAAGGTTCAGTACCCTCGCCTTGAGTCGCCTGGCTTCTCAGCCCGACTCCATTATAGTGGCACGCTCCGCATGCGAGGTTCAGTACCCTCGCCTTGAGTCGCCTGGCTTCTCAGACCGACTCCATTATAGCGGCGCGCTCCGCACGCAAGGTTCAGTACCCTCGCCTAGGGTCTCCTGGCTTCTCAGCCCGACTCCAGCGGCATGCCCCGCCAACAAGGCTCAAAGGCTCGCAACCTTTGCCTATATGATTCCACACAATGCTCTCCCGCATGATCGTTGGCATCTAAGCCCGATCCATCCCACGCGATGCTCTCCCGCGTTATATATCTACGATCGTTGGCATCTAAGCCCGATCCATCCCACGCGATGCTCTCCCACGTGATATATCTACGATCGTTGGCAGCTAAGTCCGATCCATCCCACACGATTCTCTCCCGCGTGATATATCTACGATCATTGGCAGCTAAGTCTGATCCATCCCACGCGATGCTCTCCCGCGTGATGTATCTACGATCATTGGCAGCTAAGCCCGATCTGTTCCACACGATGCTCTCCCGCATGACATCTCCATGATCGCTAACTGCCAAGCCCAAAACATTCTCCTAAGCCACGCAACATAAGTCGTGCATCGTAGCGCCCCATAAGTCGCGCATTATAAGCGTATTCTACGCCTAACACTGCATTCTCGGTGTTTCCTCTCTCACAGTCATCATGGTTCTGTTGCGCTCAGACGATCGATGAAGCGTTCTCCATATAGTTACCTTTCAGCAAGAAGATTATCGCGACAACATCCCTACTACCTATAACCCCTCAGCATCTCTGTTGCCTGGCCCTCAACGATGCTTTGTTACGCATGCCCTACCTATAGCCTCACTGCCTATCCCACAACAATTCTATTGTCAGACTATCAGCAACAGCCTCGCTGCGTGATCCCTGCTACCAACCTAATCGCCCATCGCCCGGAACCTCTACACGGTCAACAACCTTATGGCTCATCGGTTTGACAACATCCATCTCGGACAAGGGTCTTGCTACCTTTTATTATGCCAACCACTTCGTCGTGTATTGATACAGCAACCTTGCATTATTCATCATAGTCTGATCCGGCTACCAACGCTACCCACATCAGACTGGGGGGAATCCAGTTAGGTATAGTGTACTTTGGAGACACCTTCAGGACGATTATTAATGCTCGAGCAGGG